ATGCTAGGTCTGTGAATTAAGACAGGATTGTATAGGATTCTTGTTTAGTGGGCCACATATTTTTTTAGATCAGCATCAGATTTTAATATGCTGGCTAAATCAACACAACCAGTTTATTCAAAAGCAGCAACTCTCCCTCTCTCTCTCTCTCTCTCCCTCCCTCCCTCCCTCCCTCCCTCCCTCCCTCCCTCCCTCTCTCTCTCTCTCTCTCTCTCTCTCTCTCTCTCTCTCTCTCGCAGTTAATTATGTTTTTCCAAATGGAAAAGTAACTAAATGTCAATGAATATGGTAACACATTGTACTTTTTCTTTAAATATGGCCAAAAGCCAATTTAAACCAGTTGAGGTTGCTTTGGGCATAAGGACATGAATTAAGAATATTAGTTTTCTACTAGGGTTGCTTCTATGTTTCATAAGCACCTGTGCTTCTGGCTGATCCAATTTTTTTTGTAGCTCTATGGTTCTATGTACCAGCTGGTGTATCATAAAGAAACTGAACAGTGTATACTTACCCAGGATAACATAAAGCTGAAAGCTGTAACAAAGAACACACTTATTTAATTTATTTATAAACCAAAAACAAAAGTAAAATAATAGGCAAAAATAAATATGAAAGTTTAGATTGCTCTGTCAATGGTCTTCTATATAAAAGACAGCTGAGCCAAGTTTTAGCTTGCATTGAACATATCCGAGATGCATTTTCTGTTTCTGACCTAGCAGGCATATATCAATGAGTGGTAGTAATAAATCATTTTGCAGGATGGACAACTGAAGGATGTATAACCTCCTCTTTCCATTTCTTCTAATGTCCCTGGACACATTTATTCTCTTCCAATACTAACATATTTTCCATCCCACTAACATGATGGGCAGGCATTCAATATGCCCCCAATGCCTACTGTGAATAATGTTTATCAGTTGGTAGAGGTGAAAGTTCTCTTGTTAACTCCACATTTAAGTGGGAGAAGAATAAAGTTCGTGTCTGTTTGAAAGCCAATAATCAATACTCAACATCCAAATTTAACCCTAGCTTTCTTCAACCCTAAGACTATCCACTGGAATGAAAATCCACAATGCCACATATCTTGTTTCATTTTTTTTTCCAGGATGAGAGAACATGGTTACTTATATTCAATTTGTGAATGAGCAGGAAAAAAAATAACTACTGAGTTTAGGCTTTTGTACAGAATTGCAAAGTTGTATGATTTCACTGACAGATTTTCTAAAGACCAAGAAATTGAACCCAAATGGCACATTACACTGTTTGGGAGCAATGCAGGAGAAAGCTTTCTTCTGTGTGCCAGATAAATATGCCTAGAAGAGAAGAGGCGTCTTCAGATTAGCTTCTCTTGTACATCTGAACAGCTCAACTAGCTCATAACAGGAGAGATGTCCCTTTCGAGAGTATCTTAATCATGTCAGCCTTTAAAGATTAGTACTTTAAATTAAACAGTGGGCAAACAGGGTAGCTCTTTCGTGATAAGCAACTTGTCATCTCTGTATCTTGCACTGATGAGCAGTTCAGCTGCCTATATGACACTACTTTCAACCTGGTTTTATTTAAGCAAGGCCTTAAAAACCAGGCTTTTCCCCCAAGGCTCATGCTAGAGCTGGTGGTGGACCCCTTGAGATTTATAGCAATAGCACTAGCACAGCGGTTCTCAACCTATGAGTCGTGACCCCATTTGGGGTCGAACAACCATTTTACGGGGGTCGCGAAACAACACGATCCGCCATTTTCCCCCTCAGGGGGCGCCGCTGCGCACGTGCGCTGGGCATGGGGGCGCCGCCGCGCATGCGCGCCGCGGCCATGTGACGGGGATCGCCGTCACAAGAAGATTGAGAACCGCTGCACTAGCACTTGAACTTATATACCGCTTCACAGTGCTTTACAGCCCTCTATAGGCTGTTTACAGAATCAGCATATTGCCCCAACAATCTGGGTCCTCATTTTACTGACCTTGGAAGGATAGAAGGCTGAGTCAACCTTGAGCTGGTCAGGATCGAACTCCAGGCTCTGGGCAGAGTTAGCCTGCAATATTGCATCCAACACTGCACCACCAGGGCTCCTGCATAAAACTGATTTATGTTATTTTTTCAGATATCTCCTTCCTGTATTGTTTGTACTGCATTGTTTTAAATAATTTTCTATTGTAAGCCACCTAGAGATGTAATGGAATTGGGTGGTGTATTAATGTAATAAATTAATAACTGGTGCATGTAGTCCTTAACTTATGACCGATTGCTTAGTGGCCATTTAAAGTTATGACAGACCTCCTCAAAAGGTACTTATGACCTGGTTCTGAACTTCTGACAGCCGTTTCCCCCCCCCCCCGTTGCCCCCCAGTAACATGACTGCATTTCAGGCATTCGGCAACTGGGTTGTATTTATAACCATTTGCAATGTCCCTTGGTCTGGTGATCACGATTTACAACATTTTTGCTGAAAATATATTGTTTACTTTTGGTTTTCAACAAAAATGCCCCATAGCGAACAATGGGTCTGTTTAACAACCACAGTGTTTTCTTAATAACTGCCACAAAAAGGAGTCTTAAAATCAGATCAGTGACCAGGCTCCATTACAGTTGTAAGTCAAGGACTATCATAATTTGTGCTATTAAGAGAAGAAAAAAATCCCCTCCATAAAAGAATTTTTTCCTCATTTTTTTGCCAGTCAATGATGCTATATCTTAATCTGATTTGGGGTTTCAAATGTGAGACATTAAGGTTCACTGAGAAGAATTTTGATTTTCTCTTTCATTCCAAATGGTCAACGTCATCTAAAAAAGCCCTATTATTAATCATGGAGTCTGCAACAGAATGACAAAATTCACATTTGTTTTTCTTTTGGTGCCAAGTTGGTGTGTAATTCATTGGGGCTCATTACATAAATTCCTAAGCATTTTAATTTCAGAGAAAGATCCAACATTTTCATTTTGCAGATACATGTCATGCTCAGAGAAAGTTTATGTAATTTATAGTCAGGTATGCGTTGACACTAAATGAACTTAGGGGAAATATAAAAAGGGTTATAAATTTTAGAATTTGGTCTGACATTTGGTAGCTGACTAAATGGAAATCCAATGTCATAGATGAAGTAACCCAACTTCGTTTGCAGCACATCTGTATTGGCCAGCGGCTCCCAGCCTTTTGGGCACCAGGGACCAGTTCCAGGAAAGAGAGGGTTTTCTGCAGACTGGAGGGGGCATGGTTTTGTGTGCTGCCTGCATCCCGTGGATGGGGCTTCACTTGTTTGTGTGATCCAGTTTCTGGTATGCTGTGGACCAGTGCCGGTCCACAGATTGGGGGTTGGGGGACCCCTGGTATTGGTAGAAGAACCCAACAAAGTGAAATTGGAGTTTTCTCCTCCTATTCCTTACATAGCTATTGTGTCATGACAACTAAATTTATTACTGAAAGGCGATTGACAGCCATGCCATTACAGGATAAGTTTTACCTGTGATATTTCCAGAAACCCAAGAAAGGAAGACTCAGAGGACATTTGACTTGGGAATTGAACACACCCACACTCACACCCACACTCATACATTCCTGGGTTATTCCATTGGGCAAAGCGTTGCCTGTTTGCCTGGCAAGATTTTGTATGATCAAGTTTTCTTGATTACCTTTGCATAGACCTGGTAAACATGGTTTTGGGAATGTGGGTCTCAGTAGCTCATCCACAGTGAGGGAACAGATTTACCTCATGCTGTGCTAAGAGTTAGTGAGATATTATATAGGAAATTGCTAGAATGCTGCTTCCTATGTGCTGACTAAATGTTTAAAATGTTAGTACCATTTGCTACTGCCTTTAAAATAATTTTCAATATTATAACTGAAAATGTAACCTTTTAAAATCTTTTAATATTTAATTCTGTTAAAGTTTTTGTTTGGTTTTTGTAGCCCATCTGGCTAATTCTAGGCTGAGATCAAGATCTCTGGAAAATATTGAGAAACTGAGGTACAATGTAGGTAATCCTCAGCTTAACAACCATTCATTTAGTGACCATTCAAAGTTACAACAGCACTGAAAAAAGTGGCTCATGACCGGTTTTCACACTTAACGTTTGTTGCAGCATGGTCATGTGATCAGAATCCAGGCTCTTGGCAAATGGCCTGTATTTATGACAGTTGCACTGTTTCAGGGTCATGTGATCACCATTTGTAACCTTCCCAGCCAGCTTCTGACAAGCAAAGTCAATAAGGGGGGAAGCCAGATTCACTTAATGACCGCATGATTCACTTAGCAACTACAATGTATTTGCTTAACTACTGTGGCAAAAAAGGTTGTAAAATGGGGCAAAACTCACTTAACAACTGCCTTGCTTAGTAATGGAAATGTTGGGTTCAATTATGGTCGCAAGTCATAATGCCCTACAAAATGCAGGCAAATCCTATTGGAGAGGTTTTCCTCACTTTTAAACTGAGGTGATTTTTTTTTAATGAACTGGATCCCTGCCATTATTTACATCACCCCAAAACTAACTTTGAGTAGATCACATTGTTTTATTTTCTCCATATAGTTTATGATGTCCTTAACACTTGCTGCCTTGATTCCTTTTCCCATAATAAAAGGTTTTTCTGTTTTTTCACAGACAGGCTGTTTTTCATTTTTTAATTTACTGAGATTTGGGTAAAAATATTAGGATGTGTTTACTGAATGCTAAATGGTAAAGCAGACAACAATATATATAGAACAAAAACAAAACTGGTCCTTATTAATCAACATTTTAAAATCTATACGTGCACATTTATCCTATCCTATCAGTACAAATAAGAATTATGACTAGATTTGTTTCACTGTTTACATAAAACAAAGCTAAAACAAAACTTAACATCTTTATGTTGATTCATGTAGCTTTCCTAATAATTGTTTTTCCTCTCTGTCCCTTCTTGGTCATGATCCAAATTTTCCATTAGCCTAATTGCATTCCAGTCATTTTTATTCTGTTCAACCATTCTACAAATCAGTTGTTTATTTAACCTCTCTTTTTCCTCAGGTGGTACCATGGACATCTTTCTGGTCCAGCAGCTGAGGCTTTACTCCAAGCCAAAACTGCACCATGGACCTTCTTAGTGCGTGAGAGCCTTAGCAAGCCTGGTGATTTTGTGCTGTCTGTCCTGACTGACCAGCCTAAACCTAGGACTGATGTCACTGGCGCCCACAGCCAAGAACGACTTAAGGTTACTCATATCAAGATTATGTGTGAGGTGAGAAGGTGGGAGAGAAGGTAAAGGAGGAGATAGAGTCGACTTCAGTCCCTGCAAGATGATATACAAATCATTTTCACCTTCTTACATGGTTTCAGATGACTATCCAATCAGGAACCTATGACCCTTAACATTTTATAAATTGATTTACAATATTTCACATTTGCACCCATGCAATATATCTTTATCAATGAAAGGCTATTTACACTTTAAATAAAAAAGGGATCGGGTTCTCAAAAAAAAACTTGTTTGGCCATAGAACATGACAAAGATAGTTGTAGTCAAGTCTCGTTGAGATTCAGGAGCTGGATCCTCATGTGAACCAAGATGTGGGCCTGGTGAAGTAGAGAAGGAATGTGACTTGTCCTTAGACAAGGAAGAAACTGATACCTGCTAGATCAAGCAAAGAGCTTGACTATGTCTCTGAGTTTCATCTGTGCTCAAATGGAAGCCGCTGAATCTGTAGTATAGGGCAAATGGCGGCCTCAGAGTCAAAACAGAAAATAGCTTTTCTTGATACTGCCCCCACAGCTGAGTTTTTATTTATTTATCTGGAGATCCTGAGAAGGAGGTTAAAAGTCTAAAACTTCTGGTGAAACCTGAAGATTTCACTTCTCTAGAAATACTTCATTGCTGTCAGGCCCCAAACCAAGAATGACAAGTAGTTATTCTTCCAAGCTGAGATCTTTATTGTTTAATGCCTATAGACAAAATCTTGCTAGACTAAGGATTCTGTTATCTCAATCCACTGTATATTCTGTTTAACTATTAGGGAGAGGCTGTCCTTAAGAGCCCGCCAGATACAACAGTTTAGTGTCCCAGAAGAGACACTATTAAACAGAGAACAATCATATTAACTGTTCATTAATTATACTTGATCTCTACTTAGAGAATTTAGAAGCCTGGTTTCTTACCTCCAGGTAGAGGGGCACATTGGTTTATCAGCCAAAGCTGATAAAATACTCCTTGCTACTGATCTTGTGGGGATGTCCAATATCATTTGCAGATTCAAGGTTCCCCAGACTTCCCTTAAGTATGAGTGGAATGAAATCCAGAATATGCATTTTTTTTCAGATTCTGAAATGTAGCTCCTAGAATCATTAACACCTCTATCCTGACTATGTCAAATTCCACACACATACATCCCATTCATTGTAATCTGGAGACATCTGAAACCCCCAAATTGCAGAAAAGGAATGGTATAATTGAGCAACAGAATAAAAGAGTTGGAAGGGACCTTGAAGGTCTTCTAGTCCAACCCCTTGCTCAGGCATGTTATAACCCTATAACGTTTCAGACAAATGGTTGTCCAATCTCTTTTTAAAACCTTCAGTGTTGGAACACCCACAGCTTCTGGGGCAAGTCATTTCACTGATTAATTGTTCTAACTGTGAAGAAATTTCTCCTTAGTTCTAGGTTGCTTCTCTCCTTGATTAGTTTCTATCCATTGCTTCTTGTCCTACCTTCAAGTACTTTGGAGAATAGGTTGACACTCCCTTCTTTGTGGCAGCCCCCTAGATATAAGTACTACATTAATAATGACAATTAGCTCCAGACTTGCAAATCATCCTTCTTAGTGGTTTTATATAGATGTTAAGTAAAACAGGAGATAAGAAAGAACCTTGGAATCTTTCATTATTATTTTTCAGTAGTGTCTGGAGAAAAAGGGATAATACCTCTAGGTCTCCTGAGTCATACTTCTGTATCAGTTTAACTTTCTGAAGTAACTCAAAAATGAATATTTTGAATAGTATTGAACATTTATTAGGAACATACAAGAGCATTATTTTCTAGAAAAGAAAACATTGATGTGTGTTTCGTTTAGGTTTGATTAAATCTCAGGAGAGGTTGGATAAACAAAGGAACAATATGAAGATTAGGCCCTAAGGAAGAATAGCTTGGAAAGAAATTGGGTCTTTATCTTGAGGACACACAAAATAAAACTAACCTAGTACCTCACTCTAATATTCACTGTTTATAGAAATCTGGGTTAGATTATATTTTTCCTGGGCCCTGGATGATTTCACCCCAGAACTTGGAGTGGGCTTAGGATTCCTCTTTTCCTTCCCAACAGCCAACTGCTGCTCCTGCTAGAAAATTCAAAGAATAAAAGCTTTCTGAAGTCTTTTGCCTTTCTATTTAGACTCAAAGGGAAGGAAGTTATCCCTTTGCTCAGAGACTGGTCTTCATTAGTCTACATTAGGCTTTCCTTAGTGGCGGGGATGGGAGAAGCCCCTGTGGTTTCACCTAAGAGGGATATTTAAAAGCTTGCCATGTTAGAGATGCCCATCAACAAAAAATTAAAAATCAAGCGACAGAAGAACAAAGGAGAAATTTCAAGAGCTATTTAAAACATTTAAAAGGACTCTGTGCAGGGTCAATTTGTGGGAGCAAAGATCTCATCCTCAAAATGAGAGTGAAAGCTGTCCCTTGTAGAAGGCATACATGACTGTTCAGAGGTTGTCCCAGACATGCTCTGTATGGAATTTATTAGATTATCAACAATGTATCCACAGGTACATTTGCCTGGATGGATGCCTTTTGAAGCTGCTGTACCGAGCCTTTGGTTTCCCTTTGGAATGCTTTTCAGAGCCCAACAAAAATTAATCTTAAGAAGAGACCAGTATTTTAATTATCCACTATTTTGTCTAAAAATATATTTACATAAAGAGATGATAACATTATTGATTCAAAACCAGAGACAATATGCGAATAAAATAGTATTTAATTGTTTTAATTAAATTAATTATGATTAGCTTTCCACAGGATCAAAAAGATAACAGCTCAGTAAAAAAAATAAAATATAGGTTAAGATTAAGTAGGTGTAATACATAGGCACAAAGGCAGCTACATATATGAGGGACTAGACTAATAATGCTTTTTGTTTTCTCCATTTTTCTAGAAAGGGCAGTACACAATTGGGGGTACAGCAAGATTCCTCAGTTTGACTGACTTAGTGGAACATTTTAAAAAGATAGGAATTGAGGAGGCATCTGGATATTTTGTGTATTTGAGACAGGTAAATAAGCTATTACTTATGGAACATCTCTCTGCATTGTTCAAAAGATAATTTTATTATGTTGTCTAATGCAGTTTATAGAAAGTGGTATAGATGTGTAAATTCAGACATTATGTATTGTGTGTGTGTAAATGTCATATTATTAGCATCAACAATATTATTTAACATTTTCAGAATTAAAGACAATCACAAAGCCAATTGTGCTAATAAGGTGTGTGTATATGCAAGGTAAATTAATGAACTCTAAACCACTACTGAAATTTAGCATCAGATAAATCTTAACTTTATGTCCTTGATAGTTTTCATTCATCAACTTCTTTTCTCAGACTCTAATTTTGTTTTGAAGCCTTAACAGAGAAACAAGTTAGATTTGCACAAAAATAAGATAGTAATGTGATTTGTTTGATTTTGGCTTTGCATGTTCTACACAGTCAGTCATTGCGGTTTATGGTTTAGTAGGATTTAGTAGGATTTATGGGCCTAGTCCAGTGGTGGCGAACCTATGGCACGGGTGCCAGAGGCGGCACTCGGAGCCCTCTCTGTGGGCACACCACCATCTCCCCAGCCCCGCCTCCTCCCATGGCCCCCTCCTCACCACCAGCCACCCCGGAGGAGAGTCGCCCCTGGTCGCAGCCCATGCAAAGCAGCGCAGCAAGGACATGGTAGCTGGGCAGCGGAGACAACGGGCAGATGATGCGAGGCATGGGCAGAGGGCGTGGCTGCCATGGCGCTGCTGGGCTGCCTGAGTGATCTGTGGTGGGCCGTGGAAATGGTGGGTGGCCCAGTGGGCAGGGCAGAGCGGGGATGGGTGGGGGGTGATTTTTGGGAACTTGGTCTCTAAAAGGTTCGCCATCACTGGTCTAGTCATAGTAACATGTTCAATAAAACATGACTAAAGAAAACTATATTTAGAGTGACATGTAAGGTTAAACCTAGATTCTTTTTCCAAGTTGTCAAAATTTAGAACAAAATTCATATGATGTCTTAGTTGGTATGTCCAATTATAATATGTCCATTCCCCCAAAGTCTCTTTATCTGCCTCTGGTTTTCAATGGTCCTTGCAATCTTAGTCTTTCTGCACATTTGTCACATTTGCAAACAAAGTTTGGGGGTGGCTGCAACTATGGATCATATTTAGTTTCTAAGAAAGTTACAGACCATTTGCAGGCCTCATCAGGGCTTTTTTTTGTCATAGAACGCCCAGAACGGAGTTCCGGCACCTTTTTGGGATGGAACCTTGTAGGATAGGCAAGGCGGGTTGTATGACATGTGTGAGTTCCAGCACTTTTTTTTTTTTTATAAAAAAAGCACTGGACCTCAGAGATATTCTTGGAAATATAACTTATTCCGGAAGCTAATCCTTTGCCTATAACCTGCTAGTGTCTTAGTATTTACTTGTTTTAGAAATTTAAGAAAATATCAAAAAACATTAAATTAGGATGGAGTACTGTAGGCATCTGACCAGTGGCAAGTGAAATTGATAAGGAAAATATCGATGGACACCTTGGTGCTCTTATTTGCAAGTCTCTGTCTCAACATTCCTTTTTCCCCCCCTCTTCTTTCATTTCATTCTCTCATTTCCTTTCCAAGCCTTTCAATGCCACTCGAGTGAATGCAGCTGACATTGAAAACAGAGTGGAAATGCTCAAAAGGAGGAGTCAAGCAGAAGAGGCGAACAAAGGTGGTTTCTGGGAGGAGTTTGATGTGAGTAGAGTTTTCTGCAGTGAATTATTCCTCCTGTTTTAGCCTCGGGATTCAATGCTGCAATCCAAAGATCCATACACTATTTCTGGGGCCTCTAGGAGCCCCAGTGAAGGTGGCTACAGGGAGCTGTAATTCAGCAACATCTGAAAGCCAGAATTTCCTTACCTGCAATACAGTTGTAGAAGAAATTAGGATTCAGACCAATGGTGTCTCAAGCAGAAAGTCATTTCCTTATCAGAGAAAGCATTACTCTCCATACTTTCCTGATGTGAGGTGGCCTTAGCCAACAGGGATGTAATCAATAGTCCTACAGTAATAATGAACTACCTCTTCATTTCTTCCTTCAGAGCCTGCAAAAACAAGAGACAAAGAACTTGTATGATCGACATGAGGGTCAAAGACCAGAAAATAAGAGCAAGAATCGCTATAAGAATATCTTGCCCTGTGAGTCTGGAGTTCAACCTTGCTTAGCCTATGCACATAACATAATCGGATAACAAAGATGTAAATACTCCTCTGCCTGCAGTTGAAACATTACAAGTGTATCTCTGTTTTTCAGAAAAGAAAAGAAAAGAAAAGAAAAGACCCAGTTCCTTAAAAATATACAGTTAGCTTAAAAGCAAAAGTCTGGGTAGCATTTTAAGGTTGCACAACCTTTCATAGATATATTGACTTATGAACTAGCTTTTCTCTTTAGGCTAGTCAAGTTAAATTTCTTCCAGCTTGGATGCCCAAATATTCAAAGGATTGCTTTTTCCAATTTGAGCAATTTGGGGTAATTAGCAAAAATATTTAATTTTCTATAAAATTTGACTTGAGAATGAAAAAATGTTCCATATCAAAATAAAATAATATAAAACTAGCAAATACCTTTAAATGATTAAAACAAGACTATATATTAAAATCTAAAACAACAAAATAAATGTGAGAAAGTAATAGAACGTGACTAAAATTAGAAAGGGAGGAGCAATAACGCAATTCAAGCACTTTAAGTTTCTTCCTTGGGGTTGGTGAGTAACCTATTTCTCATGAGAGTAACTCCCACCAGCCTCTCCTTCCCAGTACTATGGTTCTCCAGTTTCCTCCCCATCCCTTCAGCTCTGAAGTCATCAGAGTATTGTGGCTACCATGGCTTTCTTTGGTATACCAGCTTTGTTTAACTGCTATTCTTTTTCCTCACTGCCAAGCAAGACCACAAGCTTCCCGCTGAAGGTTTTTTTTTCTTTTCTATTCTCTCTCTTTCTCTCTCCCTGGATATAGAAGGAAAGGCACAATTACCTCTGGTTTTTTCTGCAGGATATTAGAACCTCCTTGAAAAGAAAGAAGTAGAGGAATTAAAGAATAAAAACTTGCATTCCAATTAAGTAGTGTTACTGAAGTCAAGGAATTTGCCAGTGGTACTTTGGAAATAAGAATTTCAGTCCTGTGTTTTCAGATGCTTCAGATGGGTGATAGGAAATAAAAGCTGTCTCCTACCATTTGTATCTAGAAAATTTACTAAAGTGTGATTCTTCAGTGACATGTTGCTTGTCTGATGTTCCAGTTGACCACTCCAGAGTCATTCTTCAAGACAGAGATGTGAATATTCCTGGGTCAGATTATATCAATGCCAACTACATCAAAGTGAGTATTAGTTTACCCTGTAACATCTAGAGAAAAGAAGGGATGGGGTGGATTTATTCCTTGAGGATTTTTTTTAATCTCTTTATTCCTTGGCAGAACGAGCTGATCAGTCCGGAGGAATGCAGTAAAACCTATATTGCCAGCCAAGGTTGCCTGGAGGCCACCATTAATGATTTCTGGCAGATGATATGGCAAGAAAATTCACGCATCATTATGATGACCACTCGGGAAGTGGAGAAAGGAAGGGTAAGTAGATAGATAGATAGATAGATAGATAGATAGATAGATAGATAGATAGATAGATAGATAGACAGACAGACAGACAGACAGACAGATAGAATTGGACTTACTAAAATCACTTTGGCTACCCCAAAAACTGCTCCAAAGTTGCACTTAAGGAGGAACCTGTAAACTTGTTTAATTGCTTTTAACGAAGGTTTAAATTTAAATAAAGTTCCAGTGATGCTCTTCCAGTCCCACTCCCTTATCTTTTTCTGATTTCCTAATAGAATAAATGTGTTCCCTACTGGCCAGAAGTAGGAAGCAGCAAAGAGTATGGGCCATATATTGTGGAAAATATTGGAGACCGTGAGGCGATAGACTATAGACTCCGACAACTTCGGCTTTCACCAATCAATAATGTGAGTACCTGAAGCCTTAGAGCATTTCCCTCAACCATCCAACTCTGACTCCAAACCTCGGTGGGAACTAAGAAATGAAAAGGAGACAGAAGAATAATATATTTATTCCTCTTCCTTGCATCTTCTAATGTTTTAAAATTGAGCATGCTTTATTCAGAACACTTTGAAACAACTTCATTAAGATTGTAAGTATTTTCCTGTTGCAGAAATATTCTGCCAGGTTTTGGGGGAAAGTAGATCTCAAGACACCCTTTTTTATTTATTTGCTTTTTGGCACTTTCTTTGCTCCACAACTAATGAAGTAAGCCATTGTGATACCCAACGCATGGAGTCCGAATATACCAAGAGCTGCAACATCAGTTCTTCAATGGGACATGCAGAGGAAACCTTCTTTGCCCTCATGAAGTTTCTGGCTGGCTGGCAGAAAAAGAGAACTAATCTTCTACTGTCAGTATTGGTAGCTGTGTGTGTGTTTTAATTACTGCAAGCAGGATGGAAGAGCAGGAGTAGAATAAAAGGAAAAAGATAGCAGATATGAGGGTGTGCTTTTGTATTCACATATTAGGATGAGGCTGTGAGAGACATCTGGCATTATCAATACCTGAGCTGGCCAGACCATGGAGTGCCCAGTGAGCCTGGAGGAGTTCTTAACTTCCTTGATGAAGTCAGTCGGATGCAGGAGAGTGTCCCAGGAGCTGGACCTATCATAGTGCACTGCAGGTGAGTAATCTGCTGCTAATGAGGGCATATTGTGAGATATACCACAAAGAAAACTGCATGCTACTGGGCATTTTATTTATCTGGGTTTCAGAATTTTTTTTAAAAAAGAAGATAAGAATTAATACAAATTAATAAAAGGAAAGCAAAAAGAAATCAAACAGAAAGCTAAAAGTGCAAGAAAGGGGAAAAAGTAAATAAAAATAAAAAAGAAATGAAGATACAAAGAAATTACTTCTGATCTTTACAGTAGTTATAAGTATAATTATAAATTTACCTCTTTCTCTAAGGCTACAACATATCTCTCTTCTTTCTGTAATATATCATGGTTAATCATCAAAATCATAATTGACACAATAACAGAGTTGGAAGTGACCCTGGAGGCCTTCTAACAATCCCCTTCTCAAGCAGGGGACCCTAAATCATTTCCGACAAATGGCTGTTCAATCTCTTCTTAAAAACTCCAGTGATGGAGAACCCACAACTTGTGGATGCAAGGTATTCCACCGATTATTTGTTCTCACTATCAGGAAATTTCTCCTTACTTCTAGATCGGATCTTTTCTTGATAAGTTTCCATCTGTTGCTTCTTGTCCTGCCCTCAGGTGCTTTGGAGAACAGATCATCCCCCTTTTCTTTGTGACAGCCCCTTAGATTTTGGAAGACTACTATGATGTCACACCTAGTCCTCCTGTTCACTAAACTAGACATACCCAATTCCTGCAACTGCTCTTTTTTGTTTTAGCCTCAGAATCATCTTTGTTGTTTTTCTCTGCACTCTTTCTAGAGCAGTGGTTCTCAACCTGTGGGTCGGGACCCCATTTGGGGTTGAACGACCATTTCACGGGGGTCGCCAAACAACGCAGTCTGCCATTTTTTCCCCTTTTCCTTAGCTGTGCTACTCCCTTTTATTCTATTGGCTTTTGAAAGCCAATAGAATAGACTCTCTTGAATAGAGTCTAATTCTATTGGCTTTCAAAAGCCAATAGGAATTGTCCAGGCTGTCTCTGCCCTGCTGAGCCTGCCAAAAGTCCCATTCTGCAAACGGTGCTGCACCAGTTGAGTAGTCCTCGACTTACGACCGGTTGAGGGTCGCGGCATTAAAAAGGTTGAGAACCACTGTTCTAGAGTCTCAACATATCATGCAGTCTCCATGTATCACAGTGACCAAAACTGAATGCAGTATTCCAAATGTGGTCTTACCAAGTATTATAAAGTGGTATTAACACTTCACGTGATTTTGGTTCTATCCCTCTGTTGATGCAGTTTAGGACTGTGTTGTCTTTCATTTCTTTTTCTGTTTTCCACAAAAAGTCTATAATAAGTTTCCATCCGTAATAAACTAGATACTGTAGTGTTTTTTCTCTAATCAAAGAAGTTCATTTGGCCTCTCAGTAAAATCCATCATCTTTACCAACCATTCCTTCATTGTAGGTTTTGCCAAATAACAAAAACAAATTCCCATGACTTTTTCCCAACCGTCAGACCCAAAACAAAGACCTACGGTATGGTTTTTATCTTAATCTTTGAAATCAACTGAATCAACACGTTTATTTGAATCCCATATTTTCTAACCTTTTTACATGTCAACCAATACCTGCTTTAGGTATTCATTTATTTTTTTCCCCAGAGAGATTTAACTTGCTTTATACGAGTTAGAAAAATATTGATGAAATGCTTTTTGCTTGGCCATTCTGTCCTTTAATATAGTATCTCCCTCTTGTTATTCATTGTTATGTTTCATTTCTCTTTTACTAACCATTTCCCTGGTTTGTTTGCAAACTCAAAGTTTTTTTGCTTTACATAATTCATTTTTATTTCCATTTCTCAATGTTTTTTTCCTTTACATAATTCATTTTTATTACCATTTCTCCTGCTTAGCATAGATAACTGTAATTGTAAAAGCTTAGTTTGTTAAGAAATTTTCTCTGTAGATTTCTTTAATTCTCTTTATCGCATGCAAAATAGCTTGCTTTTTCTTTTGCCTCTTCTTTTTGAATTCATTATTATGTTGTAAGATCTCGGATAAAAGTTTTACTTGCCGTGAAGGTACTTAAATCATAACTTTTGTTAAATTATTTTCACAAAATTCTTTAATTTCTTTTTTACAGTCCTCCACTATTGTTTCTTTCTAAACAACAGTTACATTGAAATGTAAATTTCTCTCCCAAATGTAAATTAGTCTCCAACTAAAAGAACTGGATTTCCTGTTATAAACTAAATGCACAGGATTATGATCTGAAAGTTTGCTAATATGTCTACTCCAGAAACCTTAGTAACCAAAATCTTTGAAATCCATATCATATCTATTCTTGAAAAAGACCCAATGTCTTTCAGAAAAGTAGGTGTATTCTCTTAAACTACCATTTCTTTTTTGTTTCTATATGTCCACAAGCTAGAATGCTACAATAAAATAAAATAAAATAAAGCTGGAAGGGTCCTTGGAGGTCTTCTAGTCCAGCCTTCTGCTCAAGCAGAAGAACCTATACCATCTCAGACAGGTGATTGTCTAGTCTCTTCTTGAAAATTTCTGGAGGCAAGCTATTCCACTGGTTGATTGTCCTCACTGTCAGGAAGTTTCTCCTTAATTCCAGGTTGCTTCTCTCTTTGATCAGTTTTCAATCATTGTTTCTCGTCCTTCCCTCTGATGCTCTGGTGAACAACATGACCCCCTCTTCCTTTGGCAGCCCCTCAGATACTGGAATACTGTTATCATGTCTCCCCTATTTCTTCTTTTCTTTAGACTAGCCAAACCCAAATCCTGCAGCCGTTCTTCATATATTTTAGTCTCCAGGTCTTTGATCATCTTAGTTGCTCTTCTCTGAATTTTTTCCAAACTCTCAACATCTTTTTTGTGATATTTTGACCAAAATTGGCTGCAGTATTCCAGGTATGGTCTTACTAGGGTTTTATAAAGCTGTACTAATACTTCATGTGATCTTTATTCTATGCCTCTGTTTATACAACCCAGGATTGTATTAGCTTTTTTGGTTGTTGCTTCAGACAAGTGACTGTCTCTACTTAAAAAGCTCCAATGATGGAGCACCCACAATTAACTGTTCCACTGGTTAATTGTTCTCACTGTTAGGAAGTTTCTTCTTAATTCCAGGTTGCTTCTCTCCTTGATTAGTTACATCCATTGTTTCTTGTCCTATCTTCTGGTGTTTTGGAAAATAATTTGACTCCCTCTTCTTTGTGGCAGCCCCTCAGATACTGGAATACTGCTATCATATCCCTCCCAGTCTTTCTTTTCTCTAGATTGGCCATATCCAATTCCTGTAATCGTTCTTCATATGTTTTAATCTCCAGACCTTTAATTGTCTTAGTTGCTCTTCTCTGCACTTTTTTTTTCAAAGTCTCAACATCTTTTTTGTAGTGTGCTGACCAAAACTGAATACAGTATTCCAGGTGTGGTTTTACTAAGGTTTTATAAAGTGATTCTATGCCTCTCTTTATACAACCAAGGATTGTAATGCTGGCTCATGTTTAAGTGATTATTCAGTAGGAGTCCAAGGTCCCTCTCACAGTTACTATTTTTGAGCCAGGTTTCGCCTAATCTGTACTTGTACCTTTGGTTTTTCCTGCCTAAGTGTAAAACTTTGCTTTTCTCCACATCAAAATTCATTTTGTTGGATACAGCCCATTGTTCAAGTCTGTCAAGATCCTTTTGGATCCTGAGCTTGTCTTCTGGGGTGTTGGCTATTCCTGACAGCTTAGTGTCATCTGCAAATTTGATGAGTTCCACTTCTATTCCCTCCTCTAAGTCATTGATGAAGGTATTGAAGAGTACTGGGCCTAAGACAGAGCCTTGTGGTACCCCACTGCTTACTTCCCTCCATGTAGATGTAGTACCATTAAGGAGTACTCGTTGAGTATGGTTTGTTAGCCAGCTGCAGATCCATCTGGTGGTGATGCTGTCTATCCCACATTTTTCTAGCTTACCAAAAAGTAGGTTATGGTTTACTTTGTTGAATGCCTTACTGAAATCTAAGTATGCTTTGTCCATAGCATTTGCTGGTATACTACTTTAGCCTAAATTATCCATCAGATCAGATAAAACTTTTAGTAATTTGCCTTGAGTTGCCGAGCTCCCCTTCTTGAAAAAGGTAGTCGAGAAGATGGTTGCATTGCAGCTTCAGAGGCCCCAGAAGAAACCAATTATTTAGACCTTTTCTGGTCAAGATTCAGGCCAAGACATAGTAGCATAACAATAATATTTTCACTTGTTGATATCTCTGGAGGAAAGAGATTGAAATGGCCCCTACCCTGCTCTTCAATGGACCCTGAAGCCCTGGCTCTGCCCCAGGCTATGGACTAGGGTGAGTGGAGGATTTCTTTGGATTGGTGCAAGGTTGCTTGTGGGCTGTTTCTCCTAGGAGAACCATGGGTCTCTCCTTGATTTGTTGTTTTGTTATATTCTGTATTATTGTTGGTTGCCTCCCAGATTTCAAGAATTGGACAATCTAATTAGCGTGATTAATAAATAAAATACTTCTGAGGTTTTGTTTGAAATATTCCAGCAGTGTCTTGCCAGTTGACAAATCTAGGTATAATTCAACAAGGCTATTCTGTCCTCTGCATTCCTGTTAGTGCCGTTTGGATCCCAGGCTTCGGCTCCTGTGCCCATTGGTTCACTAGATTGGTGAATGCAAGGGGTACCACTTTCTCTGTGGTAAGCCTCTAAATTTGTTGGATTTTGGTGCAGATCTCTAGGAAATTATAAGACATTGTTTAAATTGTCTGTTCCTGAGTTACTTCCATGTGTGCATTCTGCTCTCAAAAATGTCATTGTTGGCTCAGTTCTTGATAGCGCTTTTAATACGTTTACATAGATTTGGATCAAACCCCAGTACTGTTTGTGGAACAGTCATAAAGTGACATAAGCATAGTGAAATGTGCCTATTTTGTGCCCAGAATGCACTCCGATGCCCATAATCCCCATTTCTTCCTCTTTCTACAGTGCTGGGATTGGTCGCACTGGGACCATCATTGTCATTGATATGACTGTGGATATGATTTCCACCAAAGGTGAGACCGGTTTGGGTTTCTGACCTTGGATTGGCTGAAGCCTCCATTCGTGCTTCCCACTAATGACCTGCAAAGCCTTGATATAGTATGAGAAATAGGGAGGAAACACCATACAGGGATAGCCAAGGATCACTTAAGGCTCTCTCTCTCATGGGCTGGGAGGCATAGCAGGAAAGAGGTTGGCAGAGCATGTTAGGATAAAGTGGAGAAAGACCTTTAATTAGCCATGACAGGGAAGTTGTTACATCTACCTTTCTGGTGATGGTCATTTCTAGGCATTTAGAACCAAACACCGCATGTGGACAGATTTAAACTGTGATCAAGTAAATATTTAGTGTATCAAGATTGAAATTCCACAGACTTTAAGGAGGCTGCTACAAGTATCCTATTTACATCTAGTAATGAACATAAACAGATCATTTTTGCAAGTATAATGAGTGGGATTTAAAAGTGCTTAATTGTTGCTGGATTGTTGTGACTTAATTAATAATTAAATCTTTTATTAAATAAATCTACCCTTTCATATTTAGTGGTTCACAAATTACCTTAAATGCTTCAGAAAGCAGCCTAGAAATTCTGAACATGTGTACTTCATCTGAAGAAACTCCTTTAGTGCTTCTGTGTAAACATTTCACTTATTTATTAGATTTTTATCCCACCTTTATTACTTCATAAGTAACTCAAGGTGGGGAACATACATAATACTTCCTCCTATTTTCCCCACAACAACTTTGTGAGGCAGGAGAGTGAGTGACTGGCCCAAAATCATCCTGCTATTTTCACGTCTAAGGCAGAGCTAGAATTCCCTGTCTCCTGGTTTCTAGGCCAGCGCCTTAACCCAGTGATGGCAAACCTTTTAGAGACCGAGTGCCCAAACTGCAACTCAAAACCCACTTATGCATCGTCGGGTGCTGGGTGGATGTGGCCCATTGGCTGGGCATGGCCCATTGGGTGAGCGTGGCTGCGGTGGTAACGGCAGACTGGAGGGGACTAAAAAGTTCAATTAATCAATTCCAACTTTGCAAGATCTTTTTTTCCCTGCGAGAAGTTGAAATTGACTGATTGATTGAACCTTTTTTTTTTTTTTTTGCACACGGCAGCGGAGGCCTAAAGTGAAAAGATTTTATAAAACCCAGCTGAAGGCCTAGGACTGGGGCGACGGTGCGTGTGCCCACAGAGAAGGCTTTGAGTGCCGCCTCTGGCACCCGTGCCAGAGGTTCGCCACCGCTGCGTTAACCACTTTGTCAAACCGGTTCTGCATGTTTTAACCTGTTTTCCTGGTCCTCCTTTCTCTTTCTCATTGTGTCCCAGGACTGGACTGTGACATAGATATCCCCAAGGCCATTCAAATGGTCCGGTCGCAGCGCTCAGGAATGGTGCAGACTGAAGCTCAGTACAAGTTCATCTATATGGCCATATGCCAATTTATAGAGATCACCAAAAAGAAGTGGGACATCATGCAGGTAGTGGTTTGAAGGAGGCATGCAAATGCCAGCCTGTTACTTTGGGTGGTGATTATATTTTCCTCTGGAGAAGCAGATGGCATCCAATAAGATAGAGTTAGCTGAGCTCCCTAGCAAAGGGACAATAGCTGTGGCACATTCATCTTCTAGCAGCCACGTTAGAGATGCTTGTTAAAGAACCAAGTTGGTTTGTCCTCATTGACCGAGCCCTTGCCATCTTTGCTGGTTGTGCAATAATCAGTGGATCTTGATCAAGAGACTTGCCAGTCAGGGTCACAGCGAAGGAGAGATTTCAAGTTCCTTCACAGTCAGGTTGGAGAATGGAAGAAGAAGAACAGATGATGGGAGATGGGTGTTGTTTGTTTTGGTTGTGAAGGGAGACTTCTGCTTCCTTCTGTTCACACTGGCAGTTTCAGCTCCTTGCCTTCCATACAGTAAGAAAGTGCTCAGTGAACAACAAACACCCTGCTCTAGCTTTATTTTTACCCCTTTCTCTCTCTGCTGCAGTCTCCAAAAGGAAGACTAAATGAATCAGAATATGGGAATATCACCTACCCACCTGCCCAGAAGACCTCACACCCAAAGGTTTCTAGAAAATCTTCCAGGTAAGACCTTTTCAAAGCAAACACTAGTATGTATGAAGACAATCCAATGTTCTGAAAGTGGTAGAGATTAGATAATTAACATTCTTCTCTCCTGTAGCAAACTCTAAACTAGATGCAAGTTTCATGTCTAAACACGTTCACAATGTTGAATTTAAACTGGATAGAAGAAACTAAGAATAATGGATATTTTCCCGGTCTCTTTCAATGACATACGTAACACCATCCTAAACTTGTTGTGTAGCATTCTTCAAAGCATTCATATTTTGGGGGTACTATGATTGAAAACAAATATCTATATGAATCAAAACTTGGGAAATAATTTTCTAAGAGATAAGTTGAAAGATTTAGCCTACAGGGGGGAAAAATGAAAGGGAATCATGATGACAGTCCTCAAGTACTTGTCAAACACAATAGAGATTGCTTGTCTCTTGTTGCTCTAAAATTTAGAATTAAAGCCAATTGATGAAAGTTGCAGGAAAATCACTCTCCGCTGAATGTTAACAGAATAGACTATGAAGTATTTAACAGGTTGTCTTTGGAGCGTCTTCTTTGTTGATGGCAATCTGATGAATTGAAAGGATTCTGAAATTTGATCCTGTATATATGTGAAAGTGAATGGTTGATGTCCAAAACCCATTCCAATAATATGATTTTATGCTATATACGTGCTGCATTAAAAGGTTATTTTAAAAAATACTACTTAACCTGCTCTATTTATGAAGAATACACAGAAGCAAAAAAAAAAAAAAAAAACCATACTAGAAAGCACCTCCCTTTGATTAATTGGTACGGCTATCTAGAAAACTGGATTTAAATAAGCTGTTTCTCAGAATTTGAATAGCTCAAATATAATTTGAGACCACACTCTGGATCTATATGTTCTCATTTATTCCTTTTCACCCCATCTCAACTCACTCTCCTTAGTGAATAACTTCCTTATTTTTTCATGTAAATCAAATCATGTTTGGTCTGTTATGCAAACTGATTAAGTGTGAGTTGCCAAACAACCACAACAAACTGGATTGGAAGCCAATATTTAATTGTGCTTTCTTGTGGGTCATCTGATAAACAGAAAGCAGCAATGTTTTTCCTTAAAGCAAGAAAGAGAAGAATATGAGAAGTTGCATGAGGCTCATGCACATAACAAGCCCATTGCTGATTCAACATTATCTGTGAACCTTTATCTTATTTTGTTCTTTTTTCCCTTATACAGGCAAAGGGAAGAACCAACCCTCTATGAGAATTTAGACAATGTGAAAGGAAAAAAGGAAGAGAAGGGTCAAAAACCATGGCCATCTGGGAAAGAAAAGAAACCTAAAGGCTCTTTGAAGAAAAAGTAACCATCATTGGCTCCATTCGCAGTGAACATTTGTCCTTGCTAATAATTTTGTCTAGAGGCTTACAGAATTGTTTTTGTCACTGCATGGAAAACCCAGGTGGCACTTTCTCCTTTCATCAGTGCATTCTCTATTGTCCCTTGGTCCCTTACCTATATTATTTTAAATTATCTTAGGCATCTTAGATGTTTATTTTATTTTCATGTAGAATCTTGCTCCCACTGCAATTGTGCAGATTGTGGTTCTCAGCCACCAGTTTATTGCCTTGACTCCTTCATTATCTCCTAAACTTCCCCATCTTTCAGCGTATCTACTAGCTACAGTAGATCTGCTGTTTTCGAGTCTGCGCAAAGTGCCTTCTTCAGTCTAGGTACTAAAACATCTGCTTATGTTCCCCAGACCTCTCCTAAAAGGGCCTAGTCCTTCCCATTTTTTAGAATGTACCCCTTACTACGTGGTACAAAGCTGAGTATGGAGCTGGAGCTGGCAAACCATGCACTTTCGCTTTGGGCCATTCCACTTATTGGACCCAGAGGCTGAATACAGTGCTTTTCAATAAGCATTGCTTCCGTAGCTTAAGCTTTCTAATCTAGTTTCTTCCTACTTTTTGTTTGAAACTTCATCAGATCAAAGCTGACCATGTTCCATTTACAGCTGGGAGCCACAAGCTCAACAGCTATCTGTTTATTCACCAACCTTTTGCAATTGCACTCTGTAAATAATACATTGGGTTGCTTTACTCTGTAAATAAACCAGATATTATTTGGTATGTGCCTCCTCTCATTCACTCAATATATCTATTTAATATATTTTAATATAGCATAGATTTTAATATAGTCGTGGCCAGGGGGGTCTATGCGCGATTGCAGGTTGTGTGCCAGTTATGTCCTTTCCTAGCCCAACAATCCGTACTCACAGTCACTCATGCCCTAGTCACCTCCTCTCTTGACTATTGCAACCTGCTCTGCATGGGGCTACCCTTGAAAAGCATCTGGAATCTCCAGTTTATTCAAAATGTAGCAGTTTACATGGTTTTGTGCAGATCTCAGTGTGCACATGTGTCACCTCTCCTGCAGGAGCTGCATTGATTGCCAGTTTGCTTTCGGATGCAATTCAAGGTGCTGGTTGTCACCCTTAAAGCCCTTCATGACTTGAAACCAGGTTATCTGAGGGACTATCTCTTGCTGGTCACATCCGCCCAACCCACTAGAGCAGGGAGGCAAGGAATGTTGTGGGTCCTGTCTCCTAAAGAGATACATCTGTTGAGACACAAAAGAAGGGCCTTCTTTCTGGTGGCTCCCTCTCTTTGGAATATCATCCCTTCAGAAATTAAACTGCCCCCCCATTTTGACAGTCTTTTGTAAGGCCCTGAAGACTTGGTTTTGCCAGCAGACTTGGGGAAACCAAAATGGGATGGAGCCAGTGGTGGGATTCAGCCGGTTTGCACCGGTTCGGCAGAACTGATACCTAATTTTTGGTTGAGTTCGGTGAACCAGGTATGATAAATCTGTGTTTTCTAGAACACGTCTGGTTTATTATACAACTTCCTTCCAGGCGGGGAGAAAAAAAAACCCTCCCCAAAAGTCCAAGAGAGGAACAATGGAAACCAAATGGAGACACGGTCCCTTTGATCATGTCATTCAGTTGAAAACTAGGTGGTGCTTCTCATACGTAATTTCATCTCTCTAGTTTTCCGATTGGTGCATTGAGAAATCTCTAATCGGCCTACCTCTAAAGGAATAGGATCCTACTCCTACAATGAAAAGATGGTTAAGGATATTCATTTGACAAGGAAAAAAAGCAAGGATTAAATTAAAATTATTACAGGATGCTAAGGAAAGGGGGGGGGGTCTTGGCCTCCCTGATCTGGAAAAATACTATCAATCTACAGTTCTACTATAGGTGCGAGACTGGATGCGATTGGAAAATTGGAGATTATTAAAATTGGAAGGTCATGACACGCAGACTGGATGGCATGCCATGTTATGGGACGAGAAACATTAAGTTTACCAGTACTTCCGGAGGCATTACATCAGACAGGCGTTAATAGATGTTTGGACCAAAATCTGGCGACAGAATTATAGGCAAGTTCCCAATTGGATCTCGACACTAGAAATGTATATACAACCAAGGTTCATTCAGTTGGGAAAAGTAATAACCTATAAAAACATATTAGATGAGAGAGGAGAATTAAAATCGAGGAAAAATCTTCAAGATGCAGGGATAGAATTAGAATGGTAGGCATATCTCCAACTACAAGCAAGATATAGGAAAGACAAAAAAGAGTGGGGTATAAAAATAGAACCAACAGAACTAGATAAAATATTATTAGGTCCCGAGGATAAAATGATTAAAAAAATATATCACTTTCTCTTAGACCAGGCAATGTACGAAGAACAGGTCAAGGAGACTATGCTAATTTGGAGTAGAGATTTTGGTTTCAGTATCGACCTGCAGATTTGGCAAGAACTGTGGGAAACAAATAGGAAACTCACTCTAGCTACCTCGTACAAGGAAAATCTTTACAAGATGTTCTATAGATGGCACTTCCCACCCGCAAGGCTAGCTAAAATGGGTTCAAATATCTCACCTTTATGCTGGAAATGTAAAATAATAATTGGATCATATTACCATATGTGGTGGGAATGCCCAAAGGCCCGTGAGTATTGGAATAGGACACGAAGTTGGCTGAAAGATATATTAATATTGGACTTAGAGTTAAAACCTGAACTCTTCTTGTTGGGAATACAATACAATAATGGAACAGTCTATTTGCTGTTACACATCTTGACTGCAGCTAGGCTTGCGTTTGTGCAAAAATGGAAGAGCAAAGAAATCCCCACAGGGGAAGAGTCACTATATAAAATATTAGCATGTGCGGAAATGGACAGGCTCACAGTGGTATTGAAAGACAAATGTGGATCAGTTTATTTCGAAACCTGGGATAAATTTTACCGCTGGAGGGATTCGAGGTGGACGGTTGGGATTAAAGGTTAGCGTTAAGATAGAAATATATGTAATTTTAGAATAAGTACTGTATAAAACACTTAGATGTATAATTATAGATGAAGAATCGATTGTAAAATGTGGAACACCTTGATAAGAATGTATATACTGGAATGTCACGTTACATCCAATGTTTTTTAATTGTATTATAAATAAAATTTTGTAAAAAAAAATAAAATAAAAGAAAAGATGGTTAAGAATAAATCACACATCTGATGATGCTCGGATAAAAGCAAAGAAAATTGCAAGTGAGGATGCCAATCAAGAAGCAATATGGAAATATCTTAAATAACATTTTTATTGTTTTTTGTCAGGTATTAATATTTTTTCATTAATATTTTAAAACTTATAGCATAATCTAGTTTTGTGTACCTCTTTTATTGTTCTTATTTAAGTATTAAATATGTGAAATAATAAACTACATTTCGGTATATCATTTTTTAATACTTAAAATGGCCATTAGGGCAGAGAACCGGTTGTTAAATTCTTTGAATCCCACCACTGGATGGAGCCCATCAAATGGGTCATTTGACTGTGTGTTGTAGCCCTGGGTGGATGGGTGGGTGGTTATTGTTTTTTATTTTTAATTTTTTTTAAAAAAAATTCTATATTGTGTTTTTGTTGTTTGTAAACTGCCTAGAGTCACTGTGAGCAAAGTAGGTGGCTATATAAAGTTTCTAAATAAATAAATAAATAAATATTAATTAGAATTTGAAACAGATTCTATGGGGGGGATGCTCTTGGATAAGTATGTGAGTTGGGAGGATCCGTATGTGTTCGCAGACAAGTAACAAATCTATCTTTGGCTAAATATAAACATTATATTTAAAAGTCTGCCACTTTTTGCATTTTTAAGATTGTTCTCCCTTCCCCCTCCCCAGATATGTATAAAGTTAGTGAACACTGAAATCAGTGTACATTCACCACCAGGTGGAATTGTTATATGGATATAGGCTATATTTCAGGCAGCCCTGAGACATACCATGTAACATGTAATATTAAAAATAAAATATCAAGCAAAGTCAATGAAGTGATTCATTCATCGCTCAATAGTAGCAACTGTGAGAAGGATCTTGGAGTCCTAATGGACAAACACTTAAATATGAGCCAGCAGTGTGCTAAAGCTTCCAAAAAAGCCAACACAGTGCTAGGCTGCATTAACAGAGGGATAGAATCAAGATCACGTGAAGTATTAATACCACTTTACAATGCCACACTTGGAATATTGCATCCAGTTTTGGTCACCGCGATGTAAAAAAGATGTTGAGACTCTAGAACAGTGGTTCTCAACCTGTGGGTCGGGACCCCATTTGGGGTCGAACGACCATTTCACGGGGGTCGCCAAACAAAGCTGTCTGCCATTTTCCCGCCCTTTTCTTTGGCCACGCCCCTGGCACCCGGTGACGTATAAGTGGTTGGGGGTCACCACAACATGGGGAACTGTATTATGGGGTCGCGGCATTAGAAAGGTTGAGAACCACTGCTCTAGAAAGACTACAGAAAAGAGCAACAAAGATGATTAGGGGACTGGAGGCTAAAACATATAAGGGACGGCTGCTGGAATTGGGTATGATAGCAGTGTTCCAATATCTCAGGGGCTGCCACAAAGAAGAGGGAGTCAAGCTATTTTCCAAAGCGCCTGAAGGCAGAACAAGAAGCAACAGATGGAAACTAATCAAGGAGAGAAGCAACCTAGAAGTAAGGAGAAATTTCCTGACAGAACAATTAACCAATGGAACAACCTGCCTCCAGAAGCGGTGAATGCTCCAACACTGGAAGTTTTTAAGAAGAGACTGGGCAGCCATTTGTTTGAAATGATATAGGGTTTCCTGCCTGAGCAGGGGGGTGGAATAGATGACCTCCAAGGTCCCCTTCAACATTATTATTGTTGTTACTTAACCTGGTTACTAACTCAACAACTTTAGTGATTCACAACTGTAGCCAGAAAGGCCATAAAATGAGGCAAAACTCACTTAACAACTGTCTTGCTTGGCAACAGAAATTTTGAACCCAATTATGGTTGTAAGTCAAGGACTACCTATATATTGTTACCCACCCAGATTCAGTTAGAATTGGGGCAGATTAAATATTGAAAATAAAAATGTAAAGCATTGATTTTCTCTGCAGATCCATTGATTTGGTGGATTTCCCACTGATTTCCTATCCACTTTTGTGTTAGTTTCTAAATCACAGAATTTCCCCCTCCCCCCCAAAATACCATAACTCCATATTCCTTGGGAGAGGTTTTTCTATCACCATACTGCCCTCTTGTGCTGTATCATCAGATTACATTATTTGAAACGACTGCTTGAGTTTCAAGGCATTTTCATGTGTGTTCATGTACAGCCACTAGTACTGTAGATTGAGTTGGTTAAGCGCTGCCCAATGGAAGAAAGTTTTCACTTTTTATCTACTGTAATCATTCCAATTTCCCCTGCAGTGAAAATGTATGATTGATATTATCTGGTTTGAACGGGTAATTTTTTTAAATTGCCACTGCTTTACTGACTTTTTTGGTACATAGTCTAAGATCTATTTTATCCTGAAGGTGTTTTCCTTTTTTTTCTGTTTAAAAAAGATAAGCTCAGCTCTCAGTGACTACTTGGACTGGAATAAAAGGATTGGAAGGGACCTTGGAGGTCTTCTAGTCCAGCGGTTCTCAACCTATGGGTCGCGACCCCACTTGGGGTCGATCGACCATTTTACGGGGGTTGCCAAACAAGGCGATCCACCATTTTCCCCCCTCAGGGGGCGGTGCCGCAC